CTGCATGCCCGTGACCCCACCCACCCAGCCAGCTGCTTTTCTCTGCCCTTGGTGGCATATCCCCACCCCTGTAACTTTTAGCATAGATTGCCTCAGAAGGTTAGCTTCCGCTTTGGGAGGCTGAGGCAGGAGGATCACAAGTTTAAGCCCAGCCCGGTCAACTTAATGACTGAGCAAGATCTTGTTTCACAATAAAAAATAGAAAGGGGAGTGAGGGTAGGAGGGTGGACATGGAGCTCCCTGCAAAGGCCTTGAGCTCAACCCCAAACACACACACAAAAAAGGCAAAAAAAGGTAACTTCCTCATTGTATGTCGAGAGGAATGTTGTTTCCCCAGCTGTACCCCAAACTTGCAGGCCCAGAGCGAGTGTGTCACCTTCTCCTGTGCCTGCCTGAACGGTAGCCCACTGCAGGATTCTGTGGCCCAGAGCATCACAGTGAACCACCAGGTCACTCCCTGGGCGGCTCAGGCTACCCCAGCTCCCCTAGTCTAGGCAGTGCTTCCGTGCCCAGAGACGCTTGGCTGTCAAGGTGACCCCCAGTCAGACATCTGGCACCCCGCCAGCTGTGAGGGCTGTTCCCAGCAGTAGCAGGACTGTGGACGGGCACCCGGGCCGCATGGCCAATGTCAGCCAGCAGACAGGAGGGTGAGGACAGCAGGCTGGAAGCCCGTGCGCCCTCCTCTGCCAAGGCTGTCAGCCGGTGAGCTCTGTCAACCTCGGCGGCCGGCTGGCGCGGCTGAGCTCCCTTCCCTGCTCCCTCCACGCCTCACCTAGAGCCTGCCTCAGCCAGCTGCAGGGAGCCTTCCCTTTGCAGCTGAGCCCTCGCACGGCTCCTGGGGAGCACTGTAGGTCAGCTTTGTCACGCTGGCCTCAGGAGCCCGCCCCGCTTAGCCTCCTCCCTCCTCGGTGGTTAACACCTGCTCTGCAGACCTCCGACCACCGAAGGCCAGAGGCGGCAGATTTTGTCCTTTCGTTCTTTTTGCTGTGCTGAGGATCAAACCCAGGGCCTCACGTATGCAGGGCAAATACGTCTACCACTAAGCCACGCCACCACCTGCTGAATGCTGGGATCACTCGAGGGAGGGTGAGGGGGTCAAGTGCAAGCACAGGTGTCCAGCGCATGAATTAAATGCCTTTCCTCACCTCCCTCCGGCCTCTCCCTCTTTGCTGTCTCCAACGCCAGCCGCCTCAGGAGAATGTCCGGGAAAGGAGCACATCATGTCTCGCCAAGGGAAATGAGAAGAGGAAAAAAAAAACCAAAAAGACGCCCTTCTGGGTGTGTTTGTATGAAACAGGCCGACTCTGTGGGAGCATAAATGTTCTCATAGCCGAGCATTGCAGTGCATACACGCCGCTAGTGCCAGCTCCTCAGAAGGCTGAGGCGGGAGGATCACTTGAGCTCAGGAGTTCAGGACCAGCCTGGGGAGCAGAGTGAAACACCAGCCCCCCATATATCCCCTGACCCCCACATACACCCCCACCCCGTCTCAACAACAGGCTTTCCTGCTGCTCAGCGCTGGGCAGAGACCTGTGGTTGTCTGGTGTTTGCGAGAGCCCCAAGCTGAAAACAGGGCTGGGCTCACCCAACCCGGTCCACAGCATCTGCCAGTGTTGTGGTGAGGGCCGAGGAAGAGGCCATTCCTTGAGCTGCAGGGACTCCGCCGTGTCTACGTTTAAGCAAGCCTTTGCCAGCTAGGTAGGACTGAGGGTGGCAGAGGGTCCAGAGCAACACCAGACAGTCAGGGCCAGGCGCCCCTTTCCGCGCTGTCCTCCCACAGGTAGGGTGGGGGCTCAGGTCACATCCACAGCTAACGGCCAAGCTCCGAACTGCGGGCTGGCTGTCCGCACGCGGAGGCAGTGCATCCCCGCAGGAGGAAGGGCCAAGGGGTGAGATTCAGCACAGGTGGCACCTGGGGCCTTGTGTAGACAGGGCAGGGTGCCAGGCGGCAGAAACTCTGCCCTCCGGACCTGTGGACCCCGGGGGCCTCTGCTGCTTGCTGCAGCTTGACCCCTGTAGTCTGTGTCCCTGCTTTCCTGGCACGGTTGGTCACTGTGCTGTGGCTTAGTCAGCCCTGGGCCAGCTGCAGAGAAGGCTAAATGGCCTGGCAGGAGCCCTCAGGACGCAGCCTGGGAGGCCTTTTCAATCACACTGGCCTCTGGCGTCCCTGGGGAGGATGCTGGCCCAGCCCCCCTTCCCGGGGCTCCCAGGGAGACAGTGATTCAGCAGCAAGTCGGAAGCAGGCTAGACGGAGACCGACAGCAGCAGAGTCCCTGGCAGGGCTGTCAGCACCAGCTCGGGGCAAGACCTGGAGCAGGGAGAGGACATGCAGAGAGGAGCGGGACCCCAGCAGAGGCCAGGGGGAAGCTGGGGTGCCTGAGGCGGGGGCCCTCTCTTACCCCCATGCTCTGGGATGTGAAGAGTGGGCGGGGCGGCGGGGGGTCCCAACCACTGGATACCTAAGCTGCTTCTCAGCACATTCAGCAACTAAAAATACAGAATGGCTTTGCTAAAAGGTGCCCGGCTGGAAACCTCTACGAGATTTCCTATTAAGGCAGCGCCTGCTCGGGCTGGAGGCCAGAGACCTGGAGAAGGATCCCTGCTCCTGCCGTGCCCACGTTCAGCCCCACACTGGCTGCCTCCACCCCAGGCCCCATGTGCTTGTCTCACCCAGGGCTCTGCCCTCCATGCCTGTACCCCTGCTCGGGGCTGGTGGGCCCTGCGGGTCTGCCCAGTCCCAGCCCACCCACTCTCCGTGGGAGCCTGGAAGGAGGTGCCCCGCCTCCTCAGCACCTGACGGGAGGGGCGGCAGCCGGGGCTGCATGGAAGCTCTCTGGCCCAGCGAGCCTGCTGTTCTTGTGAGCGGGGTGTTTCCGAAGGTGGCTCTGCCGGAGGAGGTTATGCAACACTCCAGAGCCGGAGGGAAGCCTTCTGGCGCTGCAGACCGTGCAGTGGGTTGGGGTGGGGCCCAGGCTGAAGTTTTACCCAGCTTTTTAGATGATTCCATGCACCGCCAGACTGGGAATCACTGACACGGTGCCTCACACGGAGGCACTGGAGACGTGTGAACTAGGTCCCCGCCCACTCCTGAGCCGCGGTGCGCCCCGTCGCACGCTAATGACCCGCTTGCCGCCCCTTGGGGCTGCGGCCGCGTCCAAGAATCCTCGGCAGCCGACAGCTGCACGGAGGCCGGGAGAAGGTGGCCGTCAGTCTGGGAGCCGCACGGGGATAGTCACGGGCCCGGGGCTGCCCCTCCCGCTCCAGTGGAAGAGCGGGACGGGGCGGGCGGCTCTGCTTCCCTGCCCAACGCAGTGAAGAAGCTCGGGAAGTGAAACCCTTCGGGAGATGAAAAAGGAGCGTGGTGGGCGGGGTACAGTAATGGGCAGTAATAAGAGCCGCCGGGTAATAATCCGCCCCTGCCAGCTGGGAGTCCGTGCCTGCCTGAGCTTCCAGTGGGCACTGCCAGACAGGTGGAGCCACAGTCTGCCCAGGCTCCCTTCTGCCTCAGGAAGGTGGCAGTGGGGGTCCTCCCTTCTCCCCAACTGCTCTTAGAGGCATTGGTTTGAACAGATTCTCCTCCTGCACCTTCATTCCCACCAGTAGGCTCTAAATCAGATTGGGTGGTTTTGGGGAGCGGCTGCACCTCTGTTTCCTCATCTGTACAATGGGAGTGATGGGACCTTCAGTGGGGTGGCTGGAGGAGAGAAGGAGGCACAGCACACTGAGAGGCCCTCAGACAGGAGGGGCACATCAGAAACGCAGCCCCCTGGGCTTGCTCCGGCATTCTGATTGAGGCGGCTCCACACCTCAACTTCGGGGAGGCGAGAGGGGGCACCCCGGCTGTGCAGGTGAATTTCCTTGCAACACTTCAGTGGACCCCACTACCCTTAGACCTCCAGAATCGAGGTCTCAGGGTCTCCACAAGGCAGATGTTCTCCCCCAAGCTCCCGGGGGTCTCTGCTCTGAGTGGCCTGCTGCCCCTTCTCTGGGACACCTCCCTTTGCAGCAGGCAGATCTAGCTGGCTAGTTCGCTTGCTTGGACCAAAGATGGGCAGCAACTGGCATTTTCTCCGGGCCCCAGGGACCATGGAGGGCGTTTCCTCCGGTCTCTAGATAGTTCCCCGGCAGTGGAAACTGCAGAACTTGAGCTCCTGCAGCCTGTGAGGAGCCGGCTCTCCTGCCCAGGCCCGGGAGGAGGAGCTGAGGGGATGGAGAGCAGGGCGGGCTTTGGGAACTCTGCCTCTCCTGGGCTGGGCAGGGCAGGGCAGGGCAGGGCAGGGCAGGGCAGGTCCTGGAGGCTGGAGAGGGTTAAGTGCCTAGGGTCACCCAACAGCTGTTGTCAGGGATAGGATTTGAACCCGGTGTCACATCTTCATAAACTCAACCCCTTCTATCACGGGGTGGGGGCTCCCAATAACCTCTGCAGGGTGCTGTGCCCCACTCCCGTGAACGCCCTGACTCCCAGCCTTAGCCTGCTCAGCAAGGGTCCAAGTGGCGTTCACCCATCGCCTGTGCCAGGCCCAGGGGAAGGGGCTGCAAGCCGCCCGGGGAGGGGCACACTTTAATCAGAGGCTCACAGATATGTAGTTACGGGGGTGGCTGGGGTGTCACGGAAGGCACTCAGCAGGTGACATTTCCGTGACTTACACTGAGTGGGCTGTGCAATGCCGAGAATTGGGAGGTGGGATGCTCCGGGGCTGGGAGCTGCTGCGGCACGGGTCGGGGCCTCCGTTTCCCTGTTTGCCAAGTGCAATCCCGAGTCGCGGGAGTGGGGAGGGGCGGAAGGGTGGGCCTACGCTGGTGGGCGGGCCGCCGGGCTGGGCCGGAGGGCGGGTGGGCGGGGGGGGGGCCGGCCGGGCTGCGCGGAGGCAGCGCAGTGCCTGCGGCTGCGGAGAGCGCGGCGCCCCGGGCGCTGGCGTCACGTGAGCCGCAGCCGGAGGCCCGCAGCCCGCGCCTCGCCTGGCCCTAACCATGTCTGTCTGCTGTTGCTTCTTTTTCAGGGACTATGGCAGTTCCAAGAGGAAATCAGGTAAGGGCGCCTCCGGGCGTGTTTCTGCCCACCCTTCCGCTAGGTGCATGTTCTTCGGCTTGGGGGGACTTTTGGGGGGTCCTTGCGGGGTCCTGCAACCACCTTCTGCCGAGCCCCTCGGGCTCCTGTGTGGGAGTGGAGGCAGGTGCATGGGGAGTGTGTTGAGGGGCCCGCAGCGTGGGCAGCCGGATCCTCTCCCCGGGGTGCGGTCGCCTCCCGGGCACCGCTGGCCTCTCGCGAACCTCCCCGCGGTGCGGTGCGGTGCGGTGCGGCGCGGCGCGGGCGGGGTGTTGGGTTAACCGGATTGGAGAGGGGTCGCCCTTGAGTGGCTTGAATTTCTAGCGCTACCCCCGGACCTTCCTCCCTCCCTCCCCCATCTCTGAGCCAGCTCCTTCTGCAGGGTGGGGGCCGTGCCGTGGGCTGGGCGCGTGGGGGGACAAGTGCCCGCGCGCGCGCTGAGTTTGCGAAGCCCAGAGGGTGGGCGAAGCTTCGGAGTCCTGGTCCGGGCCCTGGCCGCTGGGGTCAGAGGGGCCTCACCACGCAGACGCTTGCTGGGGGCAGGGCTCAGCGGGGCGGGGGCGGGTCCTTAGGAGTTAGGGCTGTGCGTGCGGTGCAGGGGCGGGGGTGGCTAGCGGGCCTGTGTCAGTGCGTGGGTTGCATTTGTCTGCCCGCAGCTCCCCCTGGGCGCGTGGGAAGTGGTTCGAGAGTGCAAGCGTCTTGGCCTGCAGACCTGGGGATTGCCCGGGGCGGATGGAATTGGAGATGTCGCAGGGTGTGTGTGTGTAGGGTTCCGTGTGTTGTGTGCACAAGTGCAGTACTTGCTCGCCTGCTTATGGGGGACGAGGAGGGTCGCGTCCTGGTGTGTGTTGGGGGACTTCATGGCCCGCGCAACAGTGGTGTGCTGAGGGTGGGTGGCTCGCTTGGGTCGTGGGTGGGGTGTGCAGCAGAGTGTTGGGGTGTATGGCTGTGGGCTGCAGCCTGTGTGCAGGGGTGCTTGTGCACCTAGTGAGGGGAGAGGGTTTGCCCGGCTCGCCCCATTAACTTGCCCAGGGTCTCAGAGGCAGTGTGCTAGTTGAGCCTGAGCTCAGATCCCTCCTCCCTGTGGCCGTGTGCAAGTTTCTTAATCTCTGTACTGCAGTTTCCTCGTTCCTCAAACGAAGGTAACTGTGCTCATCCACGTAAAAGTCTGAGTTAGTGCGGCATTGCCCCAGCTCGCGTGACAACGACAGAAGCATCGGCTGTGCCTCCCCGTCATCGCTGTCATTTGTTCTCTGCAGCCCCGGGGCCTGTACCTGGCTCAGCTGCCACCATGCTCTCTTCTGTGTGACCTTAGACAAATTTCTCTTCTACTTCCGGCCTCAGTTTCTCCCTCTGAAGACAAGGTCCTTAGCTTCGCGCCCTAGGTTCCCTGACTCCGCCCTGGCTGCCTCCCCCCGGAAGGCCTCTGCAGTCCCTCTGCCTTCAGCAGAGGGAGAAATTTAATTTACATTGGCAAGCTTATGATAATGGCCACTTAGTGTCCTGGTTAGAAGTGCCAGCTCTGGGAGCCAGGCAGCAGGAGGTTAGAGTCTGGCTTCTTTCCTCTGTGACCTGGTGCAGGTTTCTGACCTCTGTGTCCCCGGCGCCTCTCCGCCTCTCCTGTAAATCAGGGATAATATTTATACCTGCCTTTTGAGGGTTAACTTTTTTTTTTTTCCTGATGGTTTATTTTATATCTGTTGATTTGAATGGGTCATGGTGCCCAGATATTTGGTCAAGCCTAATTCTGGATGTTTCTGTGAAGATGTTTTGTAGATGAGGTTAACATTTATTTACTTACTTATTTTGGTTGTTTGAGGCAGGGTCTCCATAGGTAGTTCAGGCCGGCTTTGAACTCAAAGTGATCCTCCTGCCTCAGCCTCCCAAGTGGCGCGGTAGCACACACCTGGCCTTACAGGTGTGTGCTACCATCCCTGGCAAGATTAATATTTAAATCAGCGGATGAGGAGTTCTGCCAGCAGCCTGCCTTTGGGCTCCTCTGCAGCTTCCCAGGCTCCTGCCTGCCAGCCTCCCCCACCAGTTTGGACTTACCAAGCCTCTATAGTCATGTGAGCCAATTCCTAAAATAAATCTCCTTTCCTCTATGTCTGCGTACATCTTGTCAGTCGTTTCTCTGGAGAGCCCTGACTAGCGCCTACCTTACCTGGTGGTAATGAAGACTAGATCAGTAATACCGTGAGCAAGCTTAGACACTGCCCACAACCTACAAGGTTCCCTCGAAGTACCAGCTACTTACTCCTTAATGAGCATCTACTGTGTGCTCATTAAATGCCTGTACATGTTTCTTTACTTCTGCTGCTCGGAGCCGCATTGCATGGCAGGTGGTGAGATTCCCATTTTACAAATGAAAACCAGGGGCTTAGAGGGGTAGCACATGATTCCCCACAGCCCTGGATCAGGTACAGAATGAAGTGCGTGTTTAGGGCTCTGCCTGCTAGGTCGCTCCAGCCAGGGACATTTGAACAGAGAGCACAGATGCTATTCCTGGCCTGCGTCTCTCACAGTGTAGTCTGCAAGCCTCAGCTCCTCCTTGGAGCACAGAGCCTCGGCCTCCCCAGTAGCAGGGACTGAGGCTGTCACTTCTCCCAGCTCAAGCTTTTCCTCCTCTTCCTCCTCCTTTTCCCAGGTACTGGGGAGTGGACCCAGGGCCCTTACACCGAACTACATCTCCAGCCCTTTTTATTTTGCAACAGGGTGTTGCTAAGTCTACTAAGTTGCCCAGGCTGGCCTTGAACTTCTGATCCTCCCGTCTCAGCCTCCCAGAATGCTGGGATTACAGACGTGAGCCACCATGCCTGGCTTGAAGCTTAGAACTTCGGAAGCAAGGCTTGGGCAAGGCCAGCTCAGCGGAGGAGGAGTTGTTCAGCAGTTTCCAGCTTCACAGAACAGACAGGACCACTGACCTTGACCATGGCGGCAGCGTGGCCTCGCGTTTATCTGCAGTCCTTCCCTCCTCCTCACCTCCTGCCTCCCAGCATCTTCCCTCTCTCAGGACTGGGACCATCTACCTGTTCCTCAAGCCCAACATCAGGAAGGCATTCCCTTTTTTAACTTTTTTTTTTGAGACAGTGTTCGGCTGTGCCGTTCAGGCAGGCCTTGAACACACTGTAACCCAGGCTGGCCTCAAACAGCAATCCTCCTGCCTCAGCCTCCCAAGTGCTGGGATTACAGACATGCGCTACCACACCCGGTTCATTCCTTTTTTTTAAGAAGTCATTCTTGACTTGAAACTTCCAACTTGACTTCCAGATCTGCCTGTTCTACCAGCCTCCACCATCACACCTGTTAGAAACCCCTTCCTGTCTCCCGGAAGACCCCAGCTTCCAGCCGGGTTTCTGGGCTTCCACCCTACCCGCCATTCTCCGCACCACCACTAGAGGCACTCTTAGAGCAAGACCAAACAGTTGGTTTAAATTCCCCAGGGACTTCCCGTACCACCCGGAACATGCCCTTCCTTCTGGTTTCAGAGCCTGGTGTAGCTTCTTCACCTGCACTGTATCCCTATCCCTATCCTGTATCCCTATCCTGTCCCAGCCCTAACACACATTCCCACCTGGCGCGTTCTGCTTGGCCTCATGGCCACCCTCTGTTCCTTGGGCCCGTCAAGCTTGCTCCCCTCTGCAACCAGGGTGCTTGCTGTTCCCTCTCCCCAGCATGTCCTTCAGCCTGTCACTTGCTGGGCTCCTGAAGATTGCTGCTCGTCACCTTCTCAGAGGAGCCGGCCCAACCCTCCACTGTCTGGCTGCCCCCTCGTTACCGTATGCGTTTCCGCTTCCTGGCAGTGTCCCTCCGCCAAGAGAGCAGGGAGCTCGGCTCACGGCGTGCAGTGGGCGGGAGCGTGCAGGAGCGTGTGGCTGCCCGCGTGGACCTGGTGGAGATCGGGACAGCGAGGTCGCGCGACTCGAGTTGGGAGGCGTCGTCTGGAAAGAGGAGAAATTCTTCGGGTTTGGGGGCCAAGAGCTAGAGGCGTTGGTATCCCGGAGCGGGCACATCCGTGGGCAGTTCTGAGTGCGGCTTGTGTGCCTCGTGTGCCAGGCCCCGTGCACCGTGTGGAGGTTGCAGGGGTCTCTCTGCCATGGAGGAGCTCACGGTCTGCCTGCTCAGGGACCTGCACTTCCGAGATGGTACTGTTAGATGGAGCTGACCAGACTGACCTGGTGCCCTGGCTCGCGGGGGCCAGGAAGGAGAAAAGGGCGGGGTAGGTTGGGAGGGGTGTGACGAAGCAGCACAGGCTGCATGGGGCTTTGCAGCCCACTGTAGGGATTCCGACGTTCTCAGAATGAAAGAGCAGCCGGCAGAGCATTCTGAGCAGAGGGCAGAACGACCTGGCTCTGGCTGTGGAGTGATTTCTGTGACTGGGGCATGGAGATGCGCCGGGAGGAGAGGTAAGAGACGATGAGGGCTGCAGAGACTGCTGCAGGTGGTGCGGGGGGATGGGGGCTCCTGAGTCATCTGCAGTCGCATGATCCCTGACTGCTCCTTCACACACTTCTCGGTCACCTCCGCTGTTGTGCTGTACCCGGGGTTCAGCTAGAGCGGTGCTGGTGAACCTGTGGCACTTGTGCCCCAGCACACTGTTTATAATCATTGACAGCTCTAAAAGGTTCGCCGTCCCTGAACCAGCAGGAGACAGATTAAGAGAGTTACTGCAAGGTACAGGCTTACTCAATTGCAAGCAGTGCCGGGCAAGCTGAACTCCACGCGGCCCTCATTCCTGCCCTTGAGGCCTGTGAGCTCCCTGGGACAGGCCCACCCAGAGTGGTAGGATCCCTCCCCTTCCTTAAGGTCAACGGATTATGGCTTTAGTCGCAACTACAACAATCAGCAGCACCTGGGTGAGTGGCCGTGGGATTGCTGAGTAGGGACTGTGCCCAGCCAGCTGGCCACATAATGCTGGCCGTTGCAGGAGGAGGGTACCCAGGACTCAGGGAGGGGATGCCTGCAGGGGGCGGTGGTTAGAT